CCCCCCCTCCCCGGCAATCCCAGAACCAGCCCACATTGTATTCTTGCTTGCAGCGCAGCAATAGTTGGCTGGTGTGCAGTGAATTGGGATGACTTGGCGCTTCCCTTGTCTTTGTGCAAGAGCAGTGAGTTGGGCCCATCAGGCACTCCTTGACCACGCCGGGAACTCCTGTTACTGGGAGTCGCACCCGTCTGGTACGTTCTGGGCAGCACTGGAATTGTATAGTTGCTGTCTAAATATCAGGATTGCATCATGTGAGTTGTGACCAGGATGGAAAATTACTGATGCCTAAAGTCAATCACCTTCAGACCCTGCAAACAGCAGTACCAAGGAAGGCCCTTTGAGCTCTTCTGGTCTGCAGCGGGTGTGCCCAGTAACTCCCTCTGACTGGGACACCTCTCAGAGTCACTCACAAACTACCTGGGCTGATCTCCTTCACCCTTAACCTTCACCCGTTGAGAAATCATTTGATTTGAAGTATTTCACTGAACTCAAGGGGAATTTTTATGATTGCACATGTGTGTGAATCGATTCAAACATAATATTCTATTACTGCGATTGTAATAGCAAATGCTTTCTATTCACTCAGTAAATGCTAAGTTAAACACTGATTAATAGCTGCTAAATTCCTGCGATTCTCTTTCTCTCTTCAAACTGTGAGCGCACCCTGAATTGCCGCCTAAGCACATTGCTTAGTCATAAACCGCAGTGGTCTAAGGCTGGTTCTGGATCCAGTTGCACCTAGGTTCCTCTCTGAGAAGGAGTTTAGAAAGCAGGGGGGTCCACTCCGAGCCTGGTGACTCAACAGGAGGGTCTTCCTATCCCTTACACTTTTTTTCCACTCTGTATAAATCATTTTCTACTCAACTCCCCCTTTGATTTTGTATTCCATTCAGTTAAGCAGTAATAGAGTGAACCTTGCCAACAAACTGTATAAGATCACATTTTCTAAATATTCAGTAAAATCTTTTCTTGCAAAACCTCTGAGTGACCATATAAGTGACCTAACCACTCATTCGCGACACCACTGCAGAGCGTGTGTCTTACCTTTGTGCAGTGTACTGCATTTGCGTGGTTTTGTAATGTCTCCGAATGTTTTATAATCATTTAGTGTTAAGCTTTGGAATAAGCAATGAAAAAAATTCTTTTAATTCCAGATGACCGAACTATGTTTGGAAATGAGTAGTAAGCAACAATTTCAGATGTTTATTTTTCTGATATGTCATGTCCTTTCTTCTGTGCTACAAAATAACCCACGTCTCTCTTAAAATAAGTAAATAAATAATAAATAAACAATTCCAAGTTTTTACAATCAAATATTAATAGTTCCGAAGCACAGAAAATAGACCCAGCATTTACAAAGCAGTGAAATGTAACTCTAACTTGAGTACTCCTGGTTCTCTCTATGCTATAATCTGTAAGGACAGTTATATTTAAGTGGTTTATCTGCTCTTGTTCAGCTTTGGGGTCTTGCTTGTGGACAATACAGAAGTCCGGTGCTGAGCATCACAACATGCACAGTACTTTGTGTGTCCTTTCATTAGGCTGTGGTATGCGGTCCCACTGAAATCAGAGGAATTATTTATGAAATTGTCCAAAATATATTAAGGTATCAAAAACTCCATCAACAGCACTGAAATCATGGTAGATATATGGGATCGGAAGGGTTACAGCAGTGGAGGCAAGAATACTGGGCCAAGAACAAATGGAAATACAGTCAGCAAGGAGAAAAAATAGTCCAACTTTCAGAGCTTAGTTAAGAAGTGCTAGAAAACTGTAAAGCGTGTTCCTCATTTACCGGCGATCAGCAAGGAAAGCATGAAGACACTGATCTACCCCCGGACTGTTGCCTGTAGTTTTTACTGGTTATTTTGAGGAAAACTTTCCATAAATTTTTCATCAATTATAAAATGTAGTATTTTGGAGGAAGACATCGGCGGCTTCAGTCAAGATACCCACCTTAGTAGTCCAAGGTTTTTGGACTGCCTGATCCTGCTAGCTAGATTTATTTGTGTTCCTGTTTGGAAAGTCAACTACATTAATTTTAATGAGTTTAGCAACAGTTTAGTCAAACTGGTGCTAATCACTGTGTGGGTGTATCAACATTAATAAAAGCTTGCTTTTTCTCTAATTAAACCTAAATAGGGTGGGAAGAAGTATAAGCTAGAACTAATATAGAAGTAAATGTGTATATTGGTTTAACAAAGTAGGTTTAAAATCAGTTTCAGCTGAATTTAACTTGTTCCTGTGTGTAGACAGAAAGAACCTGAACTGAACAGACTTCACAACCCTGAGTCTGAGGAGCAGCTGTTACAATGATTGTGATCATTTGTTTATATGCTAAATTTTAATTTCTTTTTTTTTTTTTTTGCTTTTTATCTGCAGACAATAGTAGAACTTGCAGAGACGGGAAGTCTGGACCTCAGTATATTCTGCAGTACCTGTTTGGTAGTGTATTATTTAATCATTTGAAATTGCAGCAGGGGTTTTTTTTTTTTTTTTTTTATGCTAAGCCAAAACTAGATGTTCCTATTCTGAACACATTTTTGGCCTTAATAATGCAATTTCAAGAGCAGGATTTATTTGCAATCTTTAGTTTAAGCAGTGTTTTCAATCTGTATGCAAAAAAACCCTACAACAATAAGATGGTTGGTTATTATATACATAATAAGTTACGAAAATCACAGGTGACATTCCAATACCTCTGTAACTCACTGTAAAATTATGTGGTGCTTCTAGCAAATTTTTTTTTTTTTTTTCAAAAATCAAGAGTATGTCTCAATTTGGCAGTAATTGGGAGGAAAAAAAAATCTTAACTTTTGTAAAGCTTGCCAAATTGTGAGCAAATACATTTCTTGGACTAGTTAATATTTAGTTTCACCACAGAAAATTTAAGAGGAAATAACTGTTTAAGGGGGAAAAATAAGTAACTATGGTAAATATAATGCCTTTCATTTTTAGGAAGATAACTAGTTAATATAAAATGATCAAAGTTATCAGTGTTACAGTGTAATGCTTTGACCTATGTAGAGCATGAATTATGTTAATGTTCCCAAAACTGAATCTGTAAAATTGTGTACAGATGCAGCAGCTTAAAAATGATGTTTGCATATATATGTATATCTCAAAACACTTAATATCAGTTCTTTTATTGCCATTTTATGTTTCTTTCAAAACATAACCTTTAAAAACATTTGTTGGGCATAATTTAGCATTCTAAGTTCCGCTGAGTTCCATTTTTTGAGTCATATTCCTGTCTTTAGAAAATAAGCTGGAACACTTTATGTTAGAGCTCAGTTACGAATGATACTGACAGAATCGTGGAACTCAAACTCATTCTGTACTTTCTTTGTTAAAAAGCTGAGATGAATCTGGTTGCTACACAAAGCTCAATAGCTGGAGGGCATAGGAGAACTTAATATGAATAAAAAGAAAAAATCCTAGAATCCAAATACATAGATGTTTGTGTTAAATAGTATACAGATCAAACTTAATAGCTAAGATTGCTTTAAACATTAGCATCAACTTTGAAATTCTCTAAGAGGTTAACAGCAGAAAAATCAAACTGCATTTAAATTGAGGGGGGTTTCTATATAAATATTTCAGAGGTTTTTACTATTCTAAACAAATGTTAATAACCATTACAGATACGGAAGCCAGTGAGGTCCAAACACTGTGGTGTATGCAATCGATGTATAGCAAAGTTTGATCACCACTGCCCGTGGGTGGGTAACTGTGTAGGTGAGTAACTTGCTAAAATATGATATTGTCATAATAGATAAGAAGGAAGAAGCTTCTGAAGTCAGCCCTGCATGCTATGCAGGGCTTTGTGTGTTCTTGTTTCATGGTGAAAGTGAGTTGGCTTCTGCCAAAGTCTGAGAAAAACTGTTGAGAACTTTGGGTAGACGGAAAAGAATTTTCCTACTGAGCTGCTTTTTTTTTTTCTACATTTGATTCTCTGCATTATTAGCATTTGTATTGCGTGTTGTACACCCATCTTCAAAATTGTTTTGTGTCTAATTCTGTTTCCTATCTATATATTTTTATTAACATAAACTCTAATAATTAAAAGATGCAAAACTTGAGTGCATTTTTACTGTCCACAGAAAGGTGTGTACTGGTTCTACAACTGCTATCCATTATGTAAGATAAAAATTTTCATCTTTGATAATTTTCTAATTTAATAGGAAAGTATACGTATTCAAAAATGGAATGATCATAGCAGTTAGATACAGAATGACTTCCTGTTGAGGTATTCTCCTTTTTTGCCCCCCCCAGGTAGTCATTTATTCTCCTCAGTGATGATGAAAGGAACAGATATAGAACAGGAATAAAGTCTCTTAATGCTACTATTCCCCATTTAATTTTTTGAGAAACTTATTTCAAAGCCATTATTATGCAGGGAGCGCAGAAAACTTCACAGCTAGGAAATGAGTGCCGCTTGCTTCGTGCGCTTTTGTTTTTTTTTAAGGACACAAGCTGAGGTAAGTTTAATCATGGGGAAGAATTAGGACATGGATTCATTGACATCTGACAGCAAATAAATTCTGCATTGTAGTCTTTCCAAATATATATAATAATGAGTGGTCACAGTAGTTTGGACTTGTGATCCAAGAGTAGAATAATCAGTCTTGTCATTTGAATGGTAATTGAGCATCACTGAAGCCTTATTGAGATGGGCTTTTATCACTCCCTTCTACTTTGTGTTTTCTACTGATGTTACTACCCGAGTTACTTTTAATTTGTATTTTAGATGTTTTATAATGAAGAACTAAGAAATTTTTATTTAAAAAAAGGCAGGGTATCATAGGCTTAGGTTTTGGGGATTGTTTAATGACAGTTTGGTGTGTAAGAGGGCTGAGGAGTTACTAGTCAATGTGATAGAAAGTTCCAGTGTTTGATTTGGAAACTCAAAAAGCATAAAAAACAGCTGGGGAGAAAAAAACCTTAGTTTGTGTGCATTAAGAGTGTATGTGAGTAGTGTGATTAAGTTAAATGGAGGAAATGTTTTTTGAAAAACACTGGTGATGGAAACACAGAATCCTCCTACTAGTGGTCTTGTACAGATTGGTATAACTGGAGGTAAAAGTAAACATTAGGATGCTTGAAAGTATGCTGGGATAAAAGCGTTAGAAATCACACTATGTGAACAGCCCTGAACTGGAGGGGGAGATGGTGTAGATGACCTTATATGGCTTTTCTGTCTCTCAGACTGGTACATGGTGACTCTGAGCACAGGATTACAAAATAGAATCCATTCTTAAAACAGCATTCATGGTATGTTTGCCCAAAAGGGAAATATGAATCACGCCTTTCTGGAAAGGTGGAATTTGAAAATGTTTCATGTAGTCTTCCGTTGAATGTCTTACAAGGACAAGAACTTTACTGAAAATAGGACTGAGAAATATTGTAAGAGTATGTACAGACACTCTAAAATGAATCCTTTGGGGATAGAACTTGCCACATAAAGAGACTGAGACACAACATTTTTAGCACTCTGAAGAGATGGACAGAAAGTGCAGATTATTTGAAAAATAAATAAATTGGCAATTTGGGCAAATCATTTTCATCATACCCACAAAATTTTAGTTAAAATTACGGTGAGCTAGTCTGTAAATGTGATTATGCCTGTCTTTTTAATGGAGTATCAAAGTGGCATGATGTTTTTTACAATTGGTTGTTTGAAAATGAGAAATAACAGATTTTGTGAAACTTGTAGTTACATTTCGAACACAAACTGCAGACTTGCCACAGAAATTTTGTTTTCAAGTAATAGCGTGAAAGGAGCTAGAACCAAATTTTAAACCATTATGTCACATGGGTTATGTTGACATTGTACTGAATTATTGTTCTGATAGCAGTGACTCAGAAGGTAGGGCTTGTGTATATGAGAAGTTATTTTATGGTTTAGAATAATGATCAGTTTTCCCCCCCAGTATTGTTCTCCAAGGTGGTAAAAGTAGGAAAAAGGGAAGAAATTAACAGACCACCAAAAAGTGAAGAAATTAACAAACCATTTTACTGATGTAGTTGTATTGCATCTAAATCATGCAATAAAACTACATCAGTAAAAAATCAGTTATCTTGATTATATGTTATTACTTATGTTATAATATGAGCACAACCATATAAAAGAAATCGGCAACAATTCTTACAGTCTTGTTTTGACTGGGGAGGGTAACTGAGTATGCTCCTGCCAGTCCAGGGTGAAACTGTAGAGACTAGTGCTGTGTTTTGCCCAGTCTTATTTAAGATACAGAAGAAAGGCTGTTTCTCCACTTTCTTTTTACAAAGTGTTTTTTTGATCTGTGACCAAGATTTTACCCATCTCATTTATAGTTTTAAATGCTATATGTATGTTTTTACCAAGTGCAGATGGATTTCCCGTTAAGCAGAATTTGGTTTAGTTGCACTGAAGATGCTGCTGAGAGGAGCATCTCATCGGATGCCTCTCAGATGAACCTCTAGGTCACCGTTCAACTTCTGTCTTTTAAAAAAAAATGTCTTCTGTGAAGCTTAACAGTTCTGAAATTGAGAATGCAAATGAAAGCGATACCTTAAGGACATTCCCAACAGTGTTTCTCATATGCTCTTAGGTGATAGAAGGCCATGTTACAACATAATTTATGTCTGAAGGAACTTATTTGATTTTCAAGGAAATGTCTTGTGTTTAGTCTAGCTTGTGTTGTATGTGTATTTTTCCTCATCTCTTATTTATATACTCTTTCAGTTCACTTGCTAAAAGCACTTGATTATTTTCTGCCTCCAGAGGATGCTCTTGTTTTAGCAGGCAAAACATTTGACATAATGAAGTAGTAAATGCTGTGCTGGTAGGTGATGACAGCCAAATCTTTTGTAGCCCATTATCATCTCTGTGGGTTTAGTTTACAGCCTAGAGCTGTTGGAAGGGTGCAACAGTGGACATATTTTACAAACAGAAAGGAGGCTGAGTACTTCAGAATTACGATGTACTCACATAAAAGGCATCTTTTTAGCTCTATTAATGTTAAAAATAGATCAGTCTTTTAGTAATTGAATTTTCTTGCATTTAAATTCTATCTTAAGCAGAATGGGTTTTATCGCATTCATTTGTTTTAGCCAGGTTGTTAGGTCTCGTCTGTTCAGTTAGAACTTGTAAAACAAATACATGTATTAGGTATTTTATTTTTAGTTAGCTTCATCAAGCAGGTTTATGCATAAGTTGTGAGTTAGCTTGTTATCAAGGGAGGTTGTATATTTATTCATATTTCTATTTCTTTTAAGAAAGTGAACTCTGCAGTCTGACAATTCTTTAATGGGATTTTAAAAGTATTTATTGATGCATAATCACTGGCTGTTCAGGGCTCTGCAGCAGCTGTCACCAACATTGTTCTAAATATTGTCTATCAAAAATTCAATTAGTTCATGAAAGAGGTTACAAATGAAATGCATTTGTGTGAATTGCAGCTGTAATGTGACAGAAATTGAAGAAAATCAGACCTGCTTTGTTGTCTGAGAAGTAGGAAAAAAACCCACAAAAGAAGTAAACCAGCTAATTTCACTGTCTTAAAGTTACATTGGCTTGATGTTGGAAAGTAATGTTTCTGTATACAATAATAAGCAGTACTTCTAAGCAAGCAATTAAACTTTCTGGTGTTGTGTTGTCTTTCTTCTGAAAGTGTAGTAATGTGATCCCTGTTGTTGTGTGACTTTAGGAGCAGGGAACCATCGCTATTTTATGGGATACCTGTTCTTCTTGCTTTTTATGATCTGCTGGATGATTTATGGATGTATCTCTTGTGAGTAAATGTGGTGGTTTTGCTTTTTAAAAATTGCTTGTAAATACTTTATCTCCTGGTATGGATTTTTACAGATTTCTGCCTTATGAGAGTTTTTGATATTTTTATTCTGGAGTTGAACTGCGTATTAATAATTGACTGTATTGCATATTTTAAGTTAGAAGATGGTGTTTTCTGTGTCTCAGATTTTTTTTCCTCATCACAGCAAAGTGTGTGCATATGTTATGTATTCAAGGAGTTGGGAAAGGAAGAGTGAGCAAGTAAAACTATTTTGGCACACACTTTCTTATTTAATTTAGTACATTCTAATGTGAGCATTATGTTGATGTACAATAAACATATCTTCAATCTTCTGAATGGTTTTTGACGCTTTGTTTTTTCTCTAGACTGGGGTTTCCACTGTGAGACAAGTTACGCAAAGGATGGATTTTGGACCTATATTACACAGATTGCTACCTGTTCTCCGTGGATGTTTTGGATGTTTCTAAACAGTGTTTTTCACTTCATGTGGGTGGCTGTGTTACTCATGTGTCAGATGTATCAGGTATGAAGACCACTTTATTTGTAATGCTGACTCTTGGGAGTGACATAAGAATATCAAATAGTTCTGTCATTTAAATTTAATGTTCATCATGGAAGAACAAGCGCTGAGTCTCTCTCCCATGCTACAGGAGACAGGCATTGTTGTCTCTGGATATTAGGCATCATTCACTTGTGGGCTTTTGTTTGCAAGAGATTAAAATACCTAATTCCTGCTTTCCATTCTCAGAATGACAAAAAGGCAAAACAGACCAGAGAAAGGCAATAAAGACTAATAGACGATAAGATCTGTGGGTCAAACTTGGAATAATGCAGTAGGTCATTAGCAGAAAGAGGGTGGTAACTTCAAAGGGGATGCAGTCATTTCTTACACTGCTTCGGTGTGATTTGTGATCACATTACTGTACTGTAATCTGACCAAACCCGAGATTTTCTTTATCCTTTTTAAGGAAAGGCAAGTCATACTGAAAGCCTTTAAGAGTGACTTGAAAGTCTTTCAGTATGACTTGTCATTAACAAACCGTGAGACTTGCTGATTTAATGTTTCCAGACATCCTGGAAATAAAAAGAATCCTCTAAGGCTTAGGTAAAACTTTTCAGGAAATTTAAGTTTTGTCCTCCTTTCTCTACAATATTCATCATTTACAACGTACATCAATTTCAAAATCTTCTATGGCTGAGTGAGAGCCATTCAGTCTTTTAGAGGTCTTTCCTGCCCAAGACAAATTAGCTGAGGTAAGTATGTATAATTCAGGTGGCTTTCAAAGCAGTCTAACCCACCAGACTTCTGTAGCAGAATAAGCGTGTACCTTTCCAGAGAGCCTTCCATCATACTTGTATTGTGATCCATTAAGTTCCCCATTGAGGATTCCTGTTAATACTATCTCTGTACAGATGAATCTTTGAATTATGCCACTTGGAAAAATACATCTTATAATATTTTGTATCATGAGTGTAATTAAGCAAAAGAATTCTAGCATTTGAGTTCTTTCATAATCCTGGAAAAATTAATACTGAACACACAGTCATATTACTAAGTTTTCCTGGAGTTTTACGCATAGAAAACTTAGGATTGTTCTTGATAAATCTCTTTGAAGTTTGCTGTAATAATGAAATTTATATTCTCTAAATTGCCTTTTTTTATTTGCAGCTGCACAGCACCTGCTCTTGCTGCTTTTTTTTTTCCCTCTCCATCATAAAGTTTGAACTCGTCTTTCTTATTGAACTGGCCAGGGTTATTGCAAAAACACTACCTACTATCTTAGAAAAGTAATTTAAAATCACAGAATCACAGAATGGTAGCGGTTGGAAGGGACCTCTGTGGGTCATCTAGTCCAACCCTCCTGCCTCCTTCAAAAGCAGACTATTTATATATGTAGGCATAAAACTTCACTGGGTTTCACAGAGGCAAAGAAAATGCTGGAGATACTGAGTACATCCACATGAGGCAAGCCAGCCCAAACTTAACTCTCTCAATGTTCTTGCTTTTGTAACGTGCAGTAGAGTGGACTTTGTATATTTCTCTAGGAATTACAAGATTTTATCTTCCTGTAGTATAGGGCTGCAAAGGGATTTCTCACATTTTTATTTCCAATTATATCACATGACAGTAAACTCTGGTTTTACCTAAGATACCCTTTTAGGCTAACGTAGTTGGAAAGCTGTTACAGAAAATCATAGCCTTTGGGCCAAATGATTCTGTAAAAAGGTGAAAACAAGCCACTTCTTTTCTGGTCATCTTTTTGTCTTGTGGACAGAAAAATTATGCTACTGCAACAAATTTATAAATGGGGAAAAATACATTACTGGAGCTATAACCAGAATGTCAAGAGGAAAAGAAAGTGGTTCAAATGTTGTGTAAAGTAACTCCTGAATCTATTATTTACGGTACACTTCAGCTGACAATATAGTAAAGGCATCTTTCTCTCATGAACTGAGAAGTCACAGTTTATTCAGTGATCATGACTTATTTCTGATCACTTTCAAAATTAAACCTTTTTGCACAATCTGGTATAGCTGTTATATGGTGTCTTTTGCTGGGACCTCATAATTTCCCCATACAGAAATTCCTCCTTCAAAGGAAGGAATATAAAGTAGTAAATTTGGTCCTCCTTTTTCAGTCTGGCTCATGCAGGGCTTGTTTGCTTGTTTTCACATGAGCTAAACTGCTTACTCTTTTTCCTGTCTTCAGATATCTTGCTTAGGTATCACTACAAATGAAAGAATGAATGCCAGAAGATACAAGCACTTTAAAGTTACAACCACATCTATTGAAAGCCCATTCAAGTAAGTTTTAAAGTGTAAATATATTTCTTATTTGTGTAGCCTTGCGTAAGTTTGAATTGTGCAACTTGTTGAAACAGAACGTAGCTAAGTGCTTTTAAAGTATTTCCACTACTTGGAAGGCTGAATCTGTCAGCGGTTTTTACAGTAACACATTCTACCTAGTTAAAGGAATTGGTAAACATTTTGTAGTGACTCTAGACAGGGATGCATAAACACACAAAATAATGCTTCCCAGCAGTGATCGTATTTTGCTGTCGAGTTTATGGGGAAACAAATACCCTCTTTATAAATCAGATGCCCCAACCAGATGCAGTTGCTTATTGCATGGTGTCGATGTTGAGCTGGATCTTCCCTTCCACACCAGGAAGTCTCTCCTGATTTACGTTTAATGTGCTGTTGAATGTGCTCCGTGCAGTACCTCCCCTTGTTCTCTTCTCCGTGAGAAAAGAGGCAGCGCTTCTTTCCTGCTCGGGAGGAAGAGCATGGGCAAAGCTATTTGTGGGGAATGGAGCAGGACTAAAGTGGGTGGTGCATGGGTGAGACATGGGCTTTTGGGTGTCAGTATGTAAAGGGTGGGTAAGGATTCTGATTTCGGTAGTGACGAGGGCGCAAGCTGAAAGAGCGGGGCTCAGGGATGAAATAGCACTGGCATGGGAGTATGGTGGCATGGAGCAGCTTGGGGAGCCAAAGCAGGAAATAAATGAGGGCACGTTACAAAAGGAGCAGCGAAAAGGACAGAAGCGTGTCTCATCCCGCTGCATAAGCTGTGTCTCCTGTGCGAGCTGCTGCTCTTTCAGGTGACAGCCAGAGGAACAGGAGGTAGGAGTTATTGTTGCAGTTTGATTTTTGTGCTAGAAGGGAAATTTGTGTGATCTCTTTTTTTAGTATCTTTCCATACAAAACTTTCAGTGAGAAGCAGGCAGGCATCTCTGTGTGGTTATAGTCTTCCTACAGAATAGAGTTGTAACAAAACCAGATCATTATTTTGCCTGAAGAACACAGGGTGGTACACAGGATAGGAAACAACTGCTGGTTTTGTCCCCCAATTAACGTCATATTCACAAACCATTTTCACTGAAAGAGCTGATATTATAAAAATGACTCTTGAAAAGAACACCAGATGTCAAAAATAACTGACTTGGTGTCAAGTATTGACATCAAGTGGTTGTCATCTCCGTGTTGCTTAGACCTGCTCTTGCATCTATCATAAAACCATCTTCTCTTCCAGAAAACTATGATCTATTCAGCCCATATGTAATTAAGTTAAAAAAGACCAGTGTGTTGGAGTTTTGATGTAGGTATCTTAAGTATTTGTCAATTCATTGATTCAGCAGCAGAAAGTCCTGGAATAGTTCATTTAATTCAGATAGTGCTTTCTTAATTTTGTGTTGTCTAGGTACTTAACTGATCTTAGACCTGCAGCTGGTGAACCAGTATGTATGACAGAAATAGATATTAATAGAAATGGAAATTATTCTAGGAAGACATTCACTATGTGCTGTTTCATCTTGCGTCCATCTATACAATACAACTTTCCTTTTAGAAAGGGATCTGAATTACCATGCTGGGCTGCATGATGGTGCACTGCCAATAACATGTTACATTTTCCACACAGTTTTGGTAGATAGTGGAAGAAAGGTAGCATCTTGTGTCCAAGGATCAAATATTCATCAGTCTGGTGACTACTTCTTATTTCAGAACTTGCTTATCAGCAAGCACTAAGATAATTCGTAACTGAATTGGTTTTCTACAGTTAGGAGCTTAAAGGGTGAAGAATCAAATTTGTAGGCAGACAAAAAATGTTGTGCTTTGTTAGATGAGCTATGATACTGCTTACTAATACGTGTTTTTGTTTTGGTTTTAGCCATGGATGTATAAGGAACGTTATAGACTTCTTTGAATTCAGATGCTGTGGTCTTTTTCGGCCTGTTATCGTGGACTGGACGAGGCAGTATACAATAGAATACGACCAAACTTCAGGATCAGGCTACCAGCTAGTGTAGCACCACCTTCATCCTGTGAGCATATCATATCTGAGTGGTGCCTGAAAAATTTTCTCTCTCTCTCGAATCCGCATCCCTTGAAGAGTAGCATGCTATGTGTAGGGCTGATGATGAATCTTAAGGTACCTTCTCTTCATCAGAATTTTATTAACAGAAGTAAAAATGGACAGAATAAACTGCCAAACCTGATAAGGAAGAGGAGGAAGATCAAAAAGGGATTTTAACAGTTCTTAACATGAGGATTACTCGCGACAGCGTATTCACAGTATTTATTATTGGCTTTTTTTGTTTAAGGTCTTTCACAATGGAACATGAGATTATTGAAGTATTGACAAAAGTAGTTAACGTTGTGCTGAGCAGAAAAATTGATTTCCCAATATGAATAATTCCACTGAAACAAGAATCTAGAATATAAAACTAAATTTCATGATGCAGAGTTCACCAGTCACTATGTTGTAGGTCCTGTGGTGTGATTTTTTTAAATACAGATTTTCTGTAGTATTATGCACATTGAAAAACGTGCTTTTCAATGCTGTTGTAAACATCATGTGGTAGGAATCCCCCGTAATGTGTCAAGTTATAGCAGTAGGGCACGTCAGATAATGTCAAGAACAAATGTGTTGCCCACATTTTGCGGTGATTGTTTTTGCCACCAGTGAGTGGTACAACGAAATACTTGTAATAACCCTGCTCTGAGATGATGTAGTCTGAAATCAACAATTGTGCAAATAAGGAAAGCTCTTCCATCAAAGTTAAAGCCCTGCTTAAATGCATGATACACCTGTAAACGTAGATTACAGTATATAACGTTCAGGAAAAAAGTGGAAGAAAATTAATTGTCTTTGAAGTTATTGTATAAGCAACTTACAAACTAGCAATGCTTCGGTGTTAGGTTTGGTCCTCATACAGTGCAGGGTAGTGTAATTGGAGACATGTTGGAAGAGAACATGGGGGAAACCACAGATGTGAAAGCAAAAATCTCAATTATAAAAAGACAAGATAGTTTTCAGTTGAATGCAACTGCAGAAGAAGAACCTGAAGTTGTCTGAAATGCTTATTTTGTTTGGATGTGAAATAATGGAAACCAAACTTTAAAAAAAAATTTAAAATCCCCATAATGGCACGCGCTCACAGAAAATGTAATTCAATATTCTGAAGATGATGGTGTATTGGCACGTGTAAATCACCCTTAATTTCTTTTGTTAAGTTCTCATGCTACAGATGTGTTTGGAAGGTAAGGAATGATCTGAAATTGCATTCCAAAGGGGCTTTTCTTGAATGTGATGCACTGATTTTTGTTATAGTGTTTTCGTAAACTCATAGTGAATTGTTCACTGCTTCCTTAACTATTGTTTACAGAGAGACTGAGAATCAGGTTAGTTCTCTTCTAAGTGCTGTAGCAACCCAATGGTTCGAGAAACCTGTGAGGGGAGTTCGGGGAGGGACCTGAAAGCAGATGTCCGAGACCAGTGTAAAGAATGTGTATCTGTATATAAGTAATTTATCAAATAGTTTTCTCTCCGTGAGTGTGTGTTTAGTGTATTTAAAGCTGCTCATTTTCATTTTATTCAACCAAAAAAGTGTAGGAAGGTATCTAATGAGCTTTTTAGTGATGTTCAATATTGCTGTTAATAGGCATTAAGCCCTGCAAATTCACTGCATGTTTGATGCTTGGCAAAATTAGCGTTCTCTGTAAAATGCAGATTACAGGTAATAAAGCAATCTAGTGGTATTCCCGGCCCTTGCCTTAGTAAGAGGAGCAGTGAAACTGTAAATATTTGATGTTCAGTATTTGCAAGGAAACATTTTTTCTGTAGTTGTTCATTGATCTCAAGACACACACTTAGTTTGCAAGTACCAGATATCACGATTTACAGAAATGCAGCATTAGAGTACTTGAATGTTTAATACTGGAAAAATCAACATCGTCTTGGACACAGTTTTAATAGGAGAGGTTTGGGTGTAGGGGTGGCAAGATACTTTTGCTGGTTTTGTCAGACAAAATTTGTAATCCTAACCAAGATACGTTTTATTTCAGTGAAAACAGTTGACATCAGTTATTCGTATTTATTTTTTCTAATTGCAGAAAAGCATGAAGACTTTACAGTATTGTTTGTTTTAATCACCAGTAATGTTCTGCATATTTGTTAAGGGTTTTGGGTTTTTTTCACGTTTCTGCTGGGGGTTGGGTCACTCGAAGAACTTCAGTCCCCAGTAGCATTAACTGCCATGAATTGTGTCATGCAGTCCATGTCAAAAGTGTTTGCAAAAGAAGAGGTGATCTTTGGTAATACGTAGTGAGTTCTGCACTATTTACTTGTTAATAGCTCTCTGGTGACAGTTTTGTTGAGACCTGCAGACTTTGGGCAATAGTAGGCAGCTGTGAAAATTAACTTGCATATATGGGTTTGGGATGTGTGAAGTTTCCAGTGCAAAATGTGACTTGTCTTGAGTAACACTGAATCGCTTGATGTGAAATCATAAAATCAAGCAGGGGGGAGCCAACTATGCAGCATTTTTCTGTCAAGTTATCAAACTTACAGTCACCTGTTGAACCAAAACTGCATTGCTTCTGAAACTTAACAGAGCTGATCCAGACCAACAGCAGATCAGATCAACTTAATCTGACATAGGTAGAACAAATGGGAATTTTGTCTTGGCCCTAAACATGTGCTGTTTCTTTGCAGGTTTCTGTATTCTTTGATGTCCACCAGATTTATTTTTTTTTCCAATTGATGTGTAAAACAGCATCACTACATTTTAAGCTATGGATTTTTTTGTATATTCTTTATTTATAACTGTGCCAAGTATTATTTTAATACTGTCGAGATCTTGTTGTATTACATTGTGAACAAAATATCTGTAAAATGTTTAATAAATTAGCTCTCCTTACATAAATTAAATCTGTTAAATTTTGTAAGTTATTAATCAAATAAATATTGACTCTTAGATGCAGTGTTTGTCTTGACTTGGGATGTGATTTCGCACAGTGTTGTTTCTGTCCCCTTTCAGAAGCCGTACCGTGAGAAAATAGCTGCTGTCTTGCATCTTATTTTAGTTAAGTCTTTCTGGAAAGATTTATGGGTGTCTTAAAGATAGCATGCACCCGATTTTGTGCTGATGTGAAATCCTGTGAACTATTACACTAGATTTTGGTAAAGGACACCTCTGTACTACCAGTTAGAGTTACCGTTCACTAATTAGATACTCTTTTCAGCGAAGCATGCTGGCAAGGTAACATTTCTTAAGGGAGAATTCCTTCCAGGGAGCGTTTTGGGTTGTCAAATGTACAGATTTAATGACACTTGAGGTGTTCTGTGGGTAAACAAGGCATCCACAGAGGGCTAGGAGGTATGACCGAGGTGTGTGCTTTTAGGTGGCACTCGCAGGACACAGAATCCCTTGACTCTTCTGGTCCGTGCTAAAGGTTAGATTTTGAGTAGAATCAAGGTAACCAAGCTTGAGTTTAATCAGAGTATTTATAACCAGCAGTATGTATAAAGGTAAAAGGCTAAGACTTAAGAGCGCACCTAATGGGGAGAAAAAAGTCTCTGTGTTTTCTGCTGGGTGTGGGTTCGATACCGACGTTGAGAATTGTTGATGCTGTTCTCCCCTTCCCCAAGCAATGGTTCTGGAGAGGCTGGCCCCAAGCTCGACTGCTGACCACCGCTTGACTTGTCTGGTTAAGACCAGGGAAGGTACTTTCTTTTTTAAAAAAGAAGACATTCTGTGCTGAAGATGTCCATCGGAGATTTGCAGTGCTCCAGGAGCAGTTGCTGCTCCTGGGAGGTATGGGTGGGATCCTGATGACTTGAAAGCTAGTTGCAAGGTTTGTTTTATTTGGGAAGAAGCCTGCCCTCTGCACCCTCATTATGGCTTGATTAGAGTTCACTCCTCCCATGCGCTGCCTCTAAGTAAAACCAGGGGGTTTTGCTATGAAAGCAATGTCTATTTGTGAACGCTTGCATTTGGATTTTATCCACCTTAGGCTGCTGAATGGAGATCAGTAAAAATTGCACCTAGTAGTTCCAAGTTGAATTTATTTGCAGTATCTTATAAACTTCGTGATGTATCTTATAAACTTAGTGCCATATTCACATATGCCTACATACTCCTTCAGATCTGCAGATCGTGAAGTCACATTTCTTTGAAGAGCCAGTCTCTCCTGGAATCAGGGCTGCAAACTGAGACCACCTCAAAGCATTACGCTAGCCTGGGCTGAGCTTTCATTCATCAGGGCTTTGCTGCAGCAGCAAAGTTGACAGTAACCAAGTGAAAGCACTTCAGTGGAGGGTACTCATTTTTCTTGACAGGTATATTGTCTTTATGGTGACAAGTTTTCTTTTTTCCTTCCATTGATTTTGTTTTTGTGTCGTTAAATAAGTTGTTGGGATGTAGAGCAGTAAGGAGCTGTGAGTTATCGCTATGACTCTCTCCGGCAAATGCAAGGAAAGCCCTTGATTTCTAGCAGTTTAAATGACTTCCGATCACTTCTACAGTTCATTTTTCTGAGAATTGAAAGCTGTTTTCATAGGTAAATGAACAATGTGTTAGGTGCCCGTTTTTGTCAGTGTAAATTGCACCTGCCAACTCTGCCGATGTGGTGGGTTGAGATCCACTACGGCAGCTACATCAGCTACTGGCAAGCAGTTTCATCTGCTCAGTAGTGTGTCAAGAGCGTCATTTTGGTTTCTGTCTGTTGAACGGTGCCACTCAGCATTTTATAATGCTGTTCCTGAGAAGAGGAAGCACTTCCATCGGGTAACAAGGCTGTGGAAAGGGGGGGATATTGTTGTTGTCTTCACATCCTCGGCTGCTGAGGCCTTGGATACTGCTTCTGAGCTAGAGCTGTCCTTGCTCAGGTTGGAAGAGTCGGAGGAGATCAGCCCTTCCCGCGCGCGCGTCAAGTTGGCAAACAGTTCCTAGGATGGTCAGTGTGAGGAGCAGGACCAAAGGTTTCCGCCCAGATTTCCCGGGCTGCGCTGTTACTCTCTCGCTCCCACCTGAAACGTGCGCTGCTTCTGCCTGGCCGCTGCCTTTGTCAGCTGCCATCTTTCCCTCTCTGTGAACTGTACGAGCTCTTGGCTCACGTTTTGAGCCGGCTGGCTGTTCTTCCTCATATCCACGTTGTTCCTGTGTAACCGATACAAAATGCTCTTTCTGTATTATCGTGACTAGTACGTATTTTTCTAATTAGGCTTTAGGCTTGCACTGCTTCGCTGCCACAGACCGCCGTCGTAGATGTTGCTGGAAACTCTGCCTTAGACCGCGCTGACACACTTGCTCACTGTTTTATTGCAGCATTCCCAGTCTTGCATGTGTCTCCATGAATTTATTCCACCAAGGCTTTTTTTTTCCCCAAAATAGTATCAGCCTGCTTCCCAAGCCAGACAGAGTTTCAGATCTCACCCTTTCTTTAATTAGCTTCTATCAGGCATGATGAGAGTTGAAACCGAACCTCCCCTTCCACCCGAGAGCACCCCATGGGCTGCAGCCACGGGGACAGGGAGCTGGTGCCTTGCCCACGGGCTGTGGTCGGCCTCTGGCTCTGGCGAAGCCTTCGCCGCGTGGTAGCGTGCGCTTGGCTGGCGAGGACGGAAGGACGCTCCTGCAGCCGCTGTTCCCCACTGGGGCTCGGGCGTGCTCCTCCCAGGCACGGCTGGTGCTCTGCAGAGGCATCGGTGCCCGGATCTCCTGTGCTCCGCTCCTTGCTGCATGCCCCAGGAGGCCGGGAGCTTTGCAGAAGGAACTTGGCGGTGGAGCCTCAGCATGCCG